TCTCTCTGAGATGTGCCTGGTCATATGCAGGCTCCAATAAGTTTTCAATTTAATCCCAATTATGGAACTCAGTTTCCTTCACCCTTACAGCAAACAACTCAGCTGTTGCCCAATCCCTGTTCCAAGGGTCCCAAGCAGAAGTCAGAAAGTTTTTCTGTTAGTTCATTGTCTACAGTTCCTATTTTCCAACAAGGCTATTCACTATATGAGAAGATATGAAGCAATGTTTAAATAAAAGATGGTATATTCGTAGCTGAATCCAGTATCAGCAAGGAAGATTTGGTTACAAGAACGTTCCGTCTGAGTGTGTTTTCATAATCACCTTATCCCTAAATAGAATACAGAAATAAGGCCTGGGCACCATACTTTAATGAGTCAGACAATGAGTCAGGTTTAGAAAAGGACCAAAAGATGATCAGGAACTAAGGCTTGAAACTAAGTCTTTCCTTATGAAGAGAGAATGATGGAATATGCAAAGAAGGATGTAATAGTACTCTCCAAGTACACACAAGGATTTCAGACAGATGGGCAAGATCTGATCTGTCTTGTTTCAGAGTGTAGCACATGGGATAAGGGAAGGTAGATTCTGGTTAAATGTTAGGAACGATTTCCTGACTGTAAGTGCCAATGAACGGCGGAATCAATTATCCAGAAAGATTGTGGTCTCTCCTTCACCTGATGTGTTTAGGTAGAGGCTGGACAGCCATGTGCCAAGGCTACTTCCATTGGGATTCCCAGAGGGACCTGGGGTTGGATTCGAGGCCTAAATAGTCTTTTCCAACTCTGTGGTTCTAATCCAGTCCATGTCTTGACATGCCTAGACAAAATTGCCAAAATATGTTTCTGTAGATTTTGAGTGAAAAGAGATAATGCAATAAATGATGGCAAATAGTCTACTACCATCACTTTGCCTATTTGGTCAGGAAAGGTATATCTGCTAGTTGTCAGTGGATTAATACATATATTATTCTGGCTCTCAGTAACTGATTTCTGAGAGAAGGACCCAGTGGCACGAAGGGGAAGGAGAAGTCCTAAATATTTCTCTTCACAGACTCCCCTCCACACATGGGCACATTATTCCCAGGAAAGCTAGAAAAACTCTGGATGATAGATACAGGTAGGAAGCTCTAAAGGCTGAATTGCTCACAAAGATACGTTTCCAATTCTTTATGTATGCATTTTTCATTCAAAATCCATTGAGAAACATTATTTTGTAATTTTCCCTAGGTTGGCCTTAAAAGTAACTTAAAAATGGTGGCATCAGTATGCAGTTGGAATGAACACTACTTTTTAGTCACAATTCCATCACCCTTATAAGCGACTATGAACAACCCATATTCAAACCACACATAATTTGCTGCTTTGGGGCAAATGGATATACTTCATAATTAATCTTTTGTGACAATTGTACTCATAATTTTTTGTATTTATTTGATTTTTTTTCCTGAGACAGAAATTTTAGTTTGAGGAAGGAAGGAAGGAAGGAAGGAAGGAAGGAAGGAAGG